AGACAGAGTTTTGCCCATGGAGTGCAGTGGCCACTATCTCAGCTCACTGGAACCTCCACCACCCAGGTTCAAGGGAGACTTCTGCCTGCCTCAGCCTCCCAAAGTGCTGGGATTACAGGTGTGAGCCACAGTGCCTACCATTTTTTTTTTTTTTAAAGATGGAGTCTGGCTCTGTCTGCCAGGCTGGAGTGCAGTGGTGGGATCTCGGCTAACTGCAACCTCCGCCTCCTGGGTTCAAGTGATTCTCCCGCTTCAGCCTCCCAAATAGCTGGGACTACAGGTGTGCAGCTCCATGCCCAGCTAATTTTTATATTTTTAGTAGAGAGGGGGTTGGCCAATCTGGTCTTGAACTCCTGACCTCAGGTGATCCACCCATCTCAGCCTCCCAAAGTGTTGAGATTACAGGCATGAGCCACTGCACCTGCCATAACTGCCAATCTCAAACTCTAACTACACCAAATGTAGGGTATCCAGGGACAGAGGAAGAGGTTAAATGGTATTGTATGGCACTGTCATAAGCAAAATCCAGACTATGAGAAACTGTGTGGGACACATGACCAGGATTACTCAATAAGTACACTGTAGAAGGAAAGAGAGAGAGGGATAAAGCGGGGGGAGGGTCTCACGAACTGAAACTCTTACAGGCCATGTCAACCACCTGCAATATATGAGCCTGATTTGGATTCTGAGTTAAATTCATTTAAAAAATTATATGGCAATTGGGAAAATCTAACCATTGACTGCATGTTTGATAATATTAAGAAATTACTACTTTTTAATCTGATTAATGGTATTACAGTTTTACTTTTAAAAATATGATGTTTGAGGTCTGCTTTCAAATAATAGGGGCAGTGGAGTAGAGTGAGCTGGAGCCTGGGTGAAGCAAGTCTTCCCATGTCACAGCTGCTGAGGTTAGGTGACAGAGATGGGGGGTTCTTCACACTACTCTACTTCTGAGTATACCAGAAACTGTCCATTATCAAGTTTAAAAGGCAAGTAAACAAATAACATATAGAAGCCATAAACTTTAAGATATTATGACTTAGAAAACATGTATGGTCCTAAATTCCTGAATGTCTATGTTTGCATCATAAAACTCTGCCACTTGGCTGGGCACAATGGCTCATGCCTATAATCTCAGCACTTCGGGAGGCTGAGGCAGGCTGATCACTTGAGACCAGGAGTTTGAGACTAGCCTGGCTCACAAGACGAAACCTCATCTCCAGTAAAAATACAAACGATTAGCCAGGTGTGGTGGAACACGTCTGCAGTCCCAGTCACGTGGAAGGCTGAGATACAAGAATCACTTGAACCTGGGAGGCGGAGGTTGCAGTGAGCAAAGATTGTGCCACTGCACTCCAGCCTGGGTGACAGTGTGAGACTCTATCTCAAAAAA